GGGGCCTAATCACCTTCTTGTGTGCTTTCCCTCTGTAAGTGTTTTTTACCGCATAGACTCACCAACTCATAAACTAGATTTCAGTGCTAAGAGGCCAGTATAGACTATGGTTTCACTTAAACTGTCCTGTATTTAAGTAGCATCTGGAATCCACTAAAAGCACTGTGAGGCTTTCCACTGACTAAGGGCTTTTTGTATGAAGTGAAAAACTAGTTGATAGTCACTAGGCTTATACTACCCATTTCAATGACCTGTATACTTTTGCCCAATGTGCCAATGCTCAGGTACTTGTTCTGCTATTCCTTTATAACTGGGTCCAGCACGGCAGGAGTGGAGAACGATGTCTTAGAAGTTTGCATGATACGGCTTATTAAAAGGCTTGCTTGAACACCATCATTGCTTTTATACAAGAGCAAACTATGGCTGACTATTCTGTTTTGTGTTTTAGCCAGCAAGACCAAAAAACAGATATTTGTCAGCTACAATCTTCAAAACACAGACAGCAATTTCACCTTACTCATAGAAAACAGGATCAAAGAAGAAATGATGGCTTTTCCAGAGAAGTTCTGATTTTGCATCATTGTAAAATAACCTTAAGTTTTTGTTTTAGAAAAACTGATTGCAATTTTCACACTGACATTAAGTTAGTAATTTGTTTTGTATTGTTTTGATTGAATCTGCAGTTGTTATTAAATATAGATGGGCCTAAATAGAGTTGGACCTGGAATTTATTTTTTTCAAATTTGCTAGCCTGTTAAGTCGTGGATAGGCGAGTAGAGTAGAAAATATACTGCAATGTACAAACATCATTGTAAAAGTGCGTGCAGCGTCTGGCTTCCATTCAGTACTGGGATCTGCTGGGAAATCAGTTCCAAATTCTAGGTGTACAATTAATCTACTATAGTATATAGTAACATAGTGTATCAGCTTTTAGTGTTCAAATAAAAAACCCCACATTTTTGTATTGTAAAGCTGTAACGTAAAATGACTGTTACTTTGCTCCTTTGAGCCCCTATTGGTTGTAGTACTAGTGCAAAACACTGGATTTCCTTCCATCTCTTGGGCACCAAGAACACCAGAAGGGTTTACAAAGGGTTATCTGTACATCCCTGAGGGCTATCTAGAAGGAAAAAGCACGGCTTGAATTCTGGAGCAACAGATAAATCTATCAGGCTGCTAGAAGAGCATCATGTGCATAAACTGAGTATACTTGTTGGATAAACCAGGGCAGTCACTACCACCACCACCACTGCAAAGCATCCTGCTGCTACATGTATGGACTTGCTTTTAGGTAGGATGGATATCCTTTCAAAGGCAGATCCATGAGCTGTTCTGTTCAATGGGCAGGGCAGCTAAAAGTTAACTATACCAAAAAACGCAAACCAGCCACAGAGCCAATGGCGCGGTGAGTGTTTGCAGCCGTCGAGGCGTGCTGTGCTGCAGCACACCACCTATTATTCATAGCAACTCGGAGGAACAGAGTGTAACAACCTGATAAGCGAGTCCAGGTTATTTCTTTTTCATTGTAAGTTGAGCCCTGACTCAGATACAAGCTTCTGATACAAAGGGAAACTACTAGTGCTGCTGCTAGACAGCTGTCCTGACAACCTACAGAAAAATGATGAACTTACCGTGCTGCGGTGCCATAATCGCCAATTAAAAACTGTAACAGAGAGGTTGCTGATGTAGAAGGCGCAACCCCTGATGAATCTCTTGTCCGAAGGGGTCTGAACACCCGGTGGCTTTGATGTTGCAGATTTGATATGGGCACAGAGGGCCCTTCCTTACCTGGTGGGAACAGCTGCCGGTCCTTGGCCGCAGTTCAAGATCAGAATAGCAAAAAGCAACTGTTGGAGGGTATTTTCGTTTTAATTTACACCACCCAGGAAACAGAGTCAACTACTCTTCTGTGATTGACTGTAAAGGATAATTAGTTGCAAATCAAGATGCTGATTTAATTAGCCTCATTTACAATCAGCTCATTCTGTTTGTAGAGGAGGGCAGGACTGTGTGCTGAGGTGTCACTGACGTTAGCTGCTGCTGGGCTGTTTCAGAAGTCACGGTGAGGGAGCCAGACCAAGGAGAGTAAACTGATGGGACAACGTCATTTTATTCTGTACATTTACATACAAAGTTCTTTTCAGTAGGTACAACAGATGTAACATCATGCAGACATTTAGCTTGTAAGACTGTTTTCAGTACTTGATTTAAGCTTGTGCTATGAGGAAGCACCACCAGACTATTCATGATCAAAACATACAGTAACACGATTCTTTAAAACTTCATCAGAAACTGAAATGGGGAGGGAGGTCTCACCCACTAGACATAACACATCATCCTCCTTTCCCAAAACATTTTACACAATACATTTAAAATGAGGTTTGTAATTTTATTTTTCTTAAAAAAAAAAAAAAAAAGTTACAGTGGGGGAGATCATCCCCCCACTTAATAGAGTTGTCTTATGTGCCAGCTACAGGCGCAACTTGACTTGACATTCACAGAGTTCAGTTAATGGCACTTCTGCTTCCAATTTGGTGACCTTTAGTGTTTGGCTCCAGGAAGTGGCAACAGTTAAGTAAAATACTTCCATTAAAAAAAAAAAAAAAAAAAAAAGCCTGCTCAACCAATCCAAAAAGTAAATCACACAACCCCCTTTCCGAGTGGCCACAAAACACTTGCAAACAGGTAAGTGTCATTACCCATTTGCAGTGTGTCTGGCAACAAAAGCAGTACTGAAACCTTAAAAGGGGACAAAACCCCCAAGATCAAGCATAATGTCACTTTCACATTTTTGTTTAAACTTGCAAAGATGGAAGAAAGCCCTTAAATGGTAAACCCAAAGAAAAATCCACTGATGGGCTTAGAGGTTACTGAAGGTTCCCAGAAAAAGGCCAGAATGGACAGGACAGCTTTGACCGCTTCCCCCGTTGTGGTGGCCAGAAAGAGCCACCTGAGAAAACCCTTTCCTGGTGATGGCCGCGGAGGAGACGTGGCCGAGGAGCCGATGGTGTGGCAGACTGGGACCCCAGCAGAGAGCCCTGTCCTGCCGCAGGACTAGGCAGAGCAGGGTAAGCATCTCCGCGTTTCCTTTCTGCCCTGCTGCATCACCTGGTACCCGACTCCTCCACACAAGGTACGCTTAGCAAAAGCTTCCCAACATTGTGAGCGTGTGTAGAAAAAAAATTAATACACACAGAAGTGTTCATCTTTTCAGGAAAATGAGCAAAACTGGAGCGGCCAAGGCAGGAAATTAGTTTGTGTTTTATTGTCATGACAGAGGCAGAGGGCCAGACCACCTTGAGAAGCTGGGGCTCCCCATGTTGCCGAAGATCAGTACCGACTACCTGCTTTTAGGCAAAAAACCCCAAAAGCAGCAAATCGAGTCAATTCCATAAGAGTTTTGAAAACAATTAATTGCTGCATGTTCCTGTCACCTAGTTTGTTTACTATATAAATGTTGATATGTTTAAACAACCATTCTCCTCCCTGGGCCTGTCTGTCATCAGAGAGCAACCACCAGAATAGGAAACGATAAAGCGCTGTGGACAACAGCAGGGAGCACACCAGGACCACTGACAGTGCTGGAAGCAGCCGGTTTTATAGAACGGTGGATGGTCTACAAGAGCCGTACCGTAGCTTGAGCACACAGGCACAGAGACCACGAGGGAAGGAGCTGCTGGCTCCACGGCACGATGGATGGCAGGGTGCTGCTCTCCGCCTCTGCGCTCGCACCTTCTCCGCTTTCAGGCCCTTTTCTCTTCCCTTAAGACTTGTTTTGCTTCTTCAGTTTTTTGTTGTGAACCCACTTTCCCCCCTGCAACGTGTGCGGCTTGCAACAAGCATCTCGCATCGAAGGCAAAAAGGTATTGCACAAATTTGGCACATGAATACTGCATGAATGGGGAAGGTCTGGGTTTTTTCCTTGGGTGAACACAGACTGCAGAAGTCTCAGCGCGGAACAAAAAGAGAAGCAGCCGCGCTCAAGCTCGACAGTAAAACTTGGTGTAAGGAAGATCGGGCTCTCGCTGTCACAGCAAGTCTAACAAAGGTGAAAAAAAACCATAGTGTAACTTTGGGCAAAACTACCATCAACTGGTCCAGTGTTTCTTACCAGGCTCAAGAAGAACCCAAATGTCCACATCCTCTGTACAAAAATTAGCAGCTTTAGGACAACATTATTACTCTGAACACAACAATCTCTGTCGCTTCTGCAGGTCTACCTGTCCCCTTGCACTTGTCAGCGTCTGAGGCTGCACTACTTACTGTATCGCTCGCCGGGGAGCACGTATCTCTGATTTATTGAGAACTGTAAGAGGACATCGGCAGCCTAATGGAGGATGGAAATTGTTAGGTACAGTAGTTAATTGACAATATATACAGCAAAGGAGGAAGGGAGAGGGAAGGTAGAGGAGGAAAGTGCAAAAGAGCGCTTTCCATGCGTATGAACGCAAGATGTACATCAAACAAAGTGGCAATCATATGGACACTCAATACAACATCAACATCCTGCTGCTCTGTTTGTTTTAATGTCTGCACTACCAAGCAATCACAAATGGATGGCCTGAGTGAGAAAGGAGAAGAGGGAGGGAGAGCAGGGAGGTTAACTAAAATGCAAGAAAGCTGTTTGTTTACAAAGTCCTTGCATTGAACTAGATCCTCACAATATTCACACGGTGAGAACAAAAAGCCGATGGCCAAAGGAAATATTTGGTTTGGGGGCTAGAGGAGAGAAGTCAAGTGGCCACTATCAAAGTGCCATCTGCACAGTAGGAGACAAACTGGATGTTCACTTTGCTTAGTCTAGAGTAGGTTTGATCCAATTTAAGTAAACTGTTTTTTTTTCCTGAATGAAAATCCTCTGAGAGCAGTTGGGGAAGGGGGGAAATCTGGGTGAGCTCACTGTATATTCTTGGGTCAGAACCAGAAACCATCTCTAAAAGCCCCAAGACAGTCAACAGCAGACCGTAAGTCATTATTCACAGGCTATCAATTCATTCCTTTCCAATGGTCACTTAAGCATTTTGTCCACTTAAATTGAAAACCCAAACTCTGGTTCTAAAAACAGGTAGGGCAATGCCAGGACACTCATTTCCCAGGAGCAGGAATCCCAGATGCACTGCCTTTTGGAATAAAAGTACAGATCGTAGCCCATGCTCCTTACTTTTTATCCCTGCTGGTCTGTGCTCCTCTCCTGGAGCAGTCCATCAGAGATTCTGGGCCTCCCGGTAATTAAAGCCATTCTTGGCAAAACTAATTTTTGCATCATTGGTCAAATCATTCACATCATCTACATTACTATTAAAAACCAGTGGAAACTGTCTAAAATAGATTCATGGACTCTTAAAATGCAGAAGGCTGATTCTCATTGAAAAATCAGCTTGTTTGGGTAGGATTTTCTTCAATGCATTCGGTGAAAAGAAAAAGTACTAATTTAAAAAGTAACTTTTAAGTGCACATGGGCTATAAAAACAAACATAAGCTGCCTAAAATGCAGTCAGAGTTTGAGTCACAACAGGTTTTGCTTTTTTTTTCTTTCTTTTTTTTTTTTTGGTGTATACAAACACAGCAGGCAACCTGGGCACTTGGACTTTCTAGACAGGCAGAAGAATGTTGCACAAGTCTAAGTTTCAGTCAATTCAACTTTGCAGTGGATCCCTCTTTCCTTTAAAGAAACACAAAAACAAACAGAAAAGACCCCCCCCCCACGGTTTCTTTCTTGGAATGGCTGCACCTCTTATTATAAGATGGCTTCATTTTTGTGATCTATGAAAGGAAAAGGAAATAAAGTGCTTCTTGAGAATAAATCAAAATAAATATACATATTTAATGGCAGGAAAAAAAGTTCTGAAGGGCTACCTCCAGCCAGGTCTTTTCTCAGATGAGTCTTTTCCCCCATAACTTTTTCAAGAGCAATCTGCACAACAGTTGAAGATGCCAAAAGTTGCTTTAGCAGCAGAGTTGAATTCCCCCAAGTCTGTGTCTGCTCCATCACTGGTTTGTAAAATCTGTGCAAAACACCTTTGCCCAAAGTGCTGCTCCTCCTGCACAACAGCATCAAATAAAATACAAAAGAAAGAGGAGAAGGAAAAAAAAAACAAAATCAAAAAACACCCAACCAAAAAAAAGAAGGGAAAAAAAAAAATCCACCCGGTTACATTGACTTCATCCCGTTGGCAGTGGTGTTCTCCGAGATCCCGTCGCTCACAGCTGCCGAGTCGTGGAGGCCGGAGTAATCCTTGAGTTCAGAGTTTGTCAGGAGCAGGGGCTGCTCCCCCTTCTTGTGCGGCAGGAGGGGCTGCCGGGTGTAATGTTCCCCGTCCGGGATGTTCTCGGGCAGGTTCTGGTTCTTGCTTTCCGGCAGCAGGAGGATGCAGATGATGCAGATGAGCGTACAGCAGGCGAAGATGACGTGGTGGAGGAAGTAGCCTTTCTGGTTGTGGAGCTCCATGATGGGGGCGGTCAGGCGGCCAAAGCCGGCGCTGGCCAGGACCAGCCCCAGCCCACCTCCCCTGCAAACACAGCAGAGGTCAGAGCCCGGCCCCGCAGCCCGCTCCTGCCAGCGCAGCCCCGTCGGCACTGCCGGGGGGAGCCCACAGCCTTGATGGCTCCCCCAGACTAATCCCCTCTCTGGCATGCACCTGCGCATCCGAAATCTCGAAGGCAAACCCGGGTTGCTCACAGCTCTCGTACTACACAGTTACTCCGGTACGGAGCTGCTTTGCTGTTGTAGATCGTTACTGCCTATTTGCCTCAGGGCGGGGAAGTAACTGTACTCGAGTATCTTTTCTGCCCCCACATAAGAAGAAGAGGAGCTTTATCACATGAGTGTGTAGACAGCCCTCTAAAGTATTCCCATGTCCGAGTATTCCCGTATTCAGTGAGGAAAAAACAGATTTTGCTTAGTATGCCAGCCTTCTCCAGCTTAGACAAGACACACCAAGAAGCAGTAGGTGCAGAAGTCAATTCTGGCTGCCTCTGAAGTATCTGGCATCAATCAGCAGTGGAGGCAGGAGATGAGACTTTACAGGCCACTGCCTCGATCCATTATACCAAACACTGAGTCCATAAAAACATGTTGTGGCTGGAACCTATCAACACATCGTTCTAATAAAACGCATAATCTTCAGAAAAAGAAGGTAACAGAGCTAGTAGTCAGATTAGAGAACAAGAGTTTGGGATTCATTTCCAAGACCTCCTCTTAACTCACTGTATACGTTGAGGCAGGTCCCTCACTTCACACTTCCTTGCTCTTCGTGTGTATTTTTGTATCGCAGAAAGGTTACAAAAAGGTTAGCATTGGTGAAATGCTTAAATTTTAAATAGGTACATTTATAAAGTATTCTTTATGGCAGAGATGCTTATTTATTAAACACAGTGTGCTTGTGTATTGAGATCATACGTGCACACCAAAAAACAGTGAAAACACATTAAAGCTTAAAAAAACCCATGTGAAAATAACTTCATTTTCCTCCAGATTTCCAGCATGGCAATCACTTACGCAGGCCAAATCCAGTGCTCTCTCCTGATGCTCAGCTATGCAAGCAACCTCCCTTGCAATTCCTCGCCTTGCTCATCAGCGTCTCTCCAGGTCCCGGAGCCGGCAGGCCTGGCACACCGCTGGCCACGGCCACCTGCGCACACCCACCTCATTTTGGGGCACAGCTCACACCGCCGGGACCTGTCCCCGCTGGGTGACCCCGCACAGAAGCGGCACCACAGACATTTCTCTGGGGCAGACCACTCCCTCCTCCGTCCGCGGCACGACCGAGGTCTCTGGCCAGCAGAACGTCACTCTCAAGTGACTCGTTTTAGCAAATTCTCTGCGAACGGCAGCTTGTCCTTCGTTTTCCAAAGACCCTGCTGCCTGCAGAGGGAGGTCTCCCCTTGAGCTTAGTTGCTGGCACTCTGCTCCCCACTCCCCTACCAAGCTCGCCCAGGCAGCACGCTCCTCCGGGAGATGCCATCTATTCCCAAACCCTCTGGTGATCAGACCAGACGGGCTCAGGTGCTTCAGTTCCTGGCCCAATGGCAGAGATGTAATTATTAACAATAACCAGACCTTACAGAAGACAACCGCAGAAGGCTAATGAACTGCTTTACATCAACTACTTGGGAAAAAAAGTTTCATTGACTGTTGAGCATACTAGAAATCACAGCACTATAAACCTACAAATGCTAAATTCATTCAGCCAACCACTGTGTTAAAGCCAATCTTCACCCAATCCTTTCCAAAATTCACTGCTGCTTACTTGACAGCTGCAGGGCAGCAAACACAGGTTTCAAAAGATGCTCTTGGGACTCTGACTGGATCAAAAATTCACGTACGTACCTTCTAACTCTCCAGACTCAGCAGAGCATCTTTCACAGACAACAGTGATTTCCCCAAATACTGCAAAAGCCCTTATTAAAAACTTGCCAGCTTTCCGATGGCAATTTAGAAACCCAGCTGAATGCAGCCATTGTGCAACTGGCCTCCCTGCAACTTCATTAATACACTCACATGAGTAATCGACACAACCAGCCCCGAATGCATAGCAAATCACTTTCCAAGCTGGCTCTGGAGCAACAAAAGCCTGGCTCATTTACATCAGTGTTTGCTACAGCTAAATTGTATCTCAACCCCTGAGAAGGACCTGAGGTGAGTTTTAAAAGCTGCTGTAGAAGGACATCAAGCAAGCTGAAAGGAAACAGGAAAAGGCAACAACAAAGACGGCTCTGTCATTATGGGTCAAGTGGCTTCAGATTTAGAGGGGCAAAAAAAAAAGTTTTTCCATATGACGTCAGTAATTAGAGCAGGCGTTACTTTATCCAGTGCCATCAAAACCTGGCAGAAGGTGGCTTGAAAATACATTTTGGCATGCATCCTAGAAGACTTTTTTTTTAATGTCTGACTATACTGCAAATATGAACATGGGGAAAAAAAAAAAGGAAAACTGAAAATACTGCCAGGAATTTTTTGTTGTTCACATGCACATCAGGAAAACCGGTACAGGGCAAGAAAGGCAGCACCCTCATAATTCACACTGTTTTTGCAGGCACCATGGGGCAGCAGGTGGAAACCAAAAACATTCAGTGCCTTTTGGGGCACTGCTCCTCCTCAGCACGAGGTCTCCCGTGGCGGGGTGCCAGCGTCTGTACTTCCAACACGCTCTGAGGTGCGGAGCGGAGCCGAAGGAGGGAGCGCGAGGGCTGCTGGCACCCACGGCCAGACCCAGCTTCACCCCTCGCACCTCCGCCTGGCAGCAGCTGCTGTGGGGGGCTTGGCCACGGCAGGGACCCACGGGTGATGGGAGCCGCTTCCCCGACCCCTGCTCGCCCAGCGGCAGCGAGGCAAGATGGTTTGCGTGAGGCTTACGGTCCTGACGTGGGCAAATTGCAGAGAGACCTTGGTCCAAAATTTTGTCCTCAGGAAAGGCCTCCCTGTTCAGGGAAGGAGAATTTCCTTGCACGCTACCGCAGTGTTTTTTCAGAGAGCGGCAAAACATCCTCGCTGATATTCTTTGCTTGCACCAGGCGAAACCTAAGAAAGGGGACTTGCCCTTCTCAGCATTGCTCAGGGGAGTGGAGAAATGTTAATCCTATCTTCAGATGACCATTTGTCTGTCCTGAGCAAATGGGTCGACACACAGCATGGCGCAGAGTACAAAAGAGCCAGAGCGCTACTCAGGCTGGAGGAGACTTTGGGAGAGCACCTACTCCAGCCTCCTGCACAAAGCAGGGCCAACACTGATTTCAGACCAGGTTTTTAGGGCTTTGTCCAGTCAGCTCAGCCACTTCTTGAAGTCAGTCCCTGAAAACCTCCATGTTTTTTCCCTGCCTTTCCTGTACATAAGTGACCTTGTTGCACGCTCAGTCCTAGGTCAGAGCTTCAGTAACACACCGGGATGCCCTTGGTCTCATGGGGCAAGGCACCACCTTGGAAAAGCCAGGCCTGGTTCAGGTCCCAGTAAACAGCACTGTACCCCACTGGAAATTTGGCTTGAGACAGCTATTGATGGGTAAAACTCCTAATTTGGTCATCGCTGCTCACTCTTCATTTCTTTGGCCGGGTGGGCACAAAAGCAGGACATAGAGATAAAAAAAACTGATCTCCCTTCCATTTGGTAGTATCTGAGCATGCAGAGGATGGGGAAAGGATACATCATGCTTTCCTCAGCCTAATCCTATTTCACAGCTGTGCAAACTGCAGTGGTGTTCCCATCAAGATTATTAGGGATGGATTATTGGTGCCACTTAGTGCTTACATTCAGCATTTGGAAGGCACTCGGTACTGAAGCCCCCATACAAGGAATGGGAGCTCCAGGTGAAGCCCTCCTACCTAGCGCCAGGAGACCGGGGTGCAGTACGAGGGTACGAAGGGCCCCTCTGTGCCGTGTGGTAGTGTGGGACCTTTGCGTTTTTGGAGCAGGCGGCACCTCTTGGCGATGAAGATGGTTGTTTTCCTCCTACACCGCTGTAACCGTTCATCTCAACACCACAGCAGTAGAGCTGGACGGGTGCTATGGCTTTGCTGTGATGCCACTGATAATGGCAGTGCTGTCTTCCTCCCTCAGGGATGGGGGATTACAGGTAAAGGATTTGATCAGGGAAACCCCAGAGACGGCTCCAGTGCTCTCTCTGCCTCCCTTTTCCTTAAGCTTCCTTGAGATTCAACCAAAAGCATATTAAGATGGTCTGAAATGCTAAAGGCTATCCAAGGCAGTATTTTGGAGAACAGGTTATGAGGGAGCAGCCAGATCCCACCGAAACGCAAGACACGAGGCAGCTTAACCACACCTCTGCCCGAGACAGGTTTATGCACCGTCCTGAGCTCCACCTCCTAATTACAGCCCTGAGTGGATCTTATCAAGAGCTTCACGGTGGTAGGACCACAAAGCGCTGCCAAGTGTCATCATCCCTATTAATAAACAGGGACCCTGAGGCATATCCAGCTATTGTCACTCGCCTGGTGTCACCCAGCAGTGTCTGGGGAAGCAGAATTTTGGCTCCCAGCCAGAATTTTGTCCCCTTCCCTGTAGCAACATAAGTGATTTAAGGAAAAAAACTTGCTAAGTTTACACTGCGCATCTGACCCTACTTGGCAGATTCTTTTCTGGTTGACATGGCCAATTCCTTATCTATATGTCTTTCAAACAGAGACAAGGAGAAAAGTAAAGAGGTATAAAACCACCAAACTGACTGACACACACGTAAGTAAATAGCTGTTAGTGTTTCGGGCTGTATAATCTCCTCACCACTCACACTGCCTTTCCCTGTGGCAATAATGTTATCTGTAAAATACATTCACAGAGTCAGATAGCCTGGAAGAAAAGGCCATGGATCAAGGAGACTCTGGCTACTCAGCTGACGGTTTTGCTACAATACTTTTGCAAAGTTATTAAAAAGGCATACAATTTGGAGAAAAAAAAAAGAAGAGTATCCTCTTCCCTCCACCCTCTCTCCTTCCCACCCGTACGACCTACATTCCTGGGAAATTCAGCGGAGTCAGGATGGACTCCTGAATAGCTGTGGCATTGCTGAAAGCATAATCCAGAACCCAAAAGCACAACCTTTGTGCTGTGAAAGGTAACAGTGAATACATAAAATTGTACAAAAACCCGACTATACAAAGACATTTTATGGGAAGGTCTCTGGTGAAGATCATTTGCCCGATTTCTACTATTGCCCAGAATGAAAACGCTCCTCTTCAGAAAAACTTTGAGCCTCTAAGATAGATCTGGGTGCAAAGAGAAAGATGACTTTATCCGTAAGAACAGCAGACCACTCACACAGGTGCTGCTGTAGGCGAGGCAGACTCGCAGAGCACCTGTACGCACCAAAAACATTTAACACCGTGTGTCACAACACCTCCTTTCCACCAAAGCACCCCTATAGCCAGGCTGATTAACGTGCCCTATGGAGGCAGGGATTGCCTGCACCTATGTCCTCCTCTGCACACTTGTGGAATTTCTCCTTTAATATCAAGCCGTAGACTCACATGGTCACTGCTTGTCCAAATCCAGCACAGTAAGCAAAGCAGTAATGTGGTTCAACCGCACGATCTGGTTCAGCTAAGTATTTAAGACCTCATCGCACTGCAAACAAATGCAATTCATACGATGCCTGGCCTGCTGATAATCACCATGATGGGACACAAGGTGGAGCCATCGGAAACAAAGCCTCTCTGTCTACAGACAGGTATTTACTTGGGCAGACTGACTGCAGCGACATTAAATTAAAGAGCGGTCCAAAAATTGCTGCAAGGTCTTCAGTTATGGGGGATTTCCCCGCCCCATACGATGTGTTAAGTTACACAGCCAGTTATCAATTAAATGAGGATAATTTCAGCCCCATACTTTGAAGAGGGGGGGCTCCAATGTCTCACCTGATTACTGTGGGTGTGATTTCAGCACAGAAGAACACACTGAGGCTTCCAACGGCATGCGAAGAAAACATACCCACAATGGAAAACGCGGTAGAGAATTTGTCTTTGACGCTGTCACTCATACCTGCCAAGACAAGTGTTTTCATAAAAAGCGAGAATGAGGCCAAACTTCCAAGGAAGAAAACAAGAAAACAGGTTTATGTTACTCATTCTCCCTAGACAAGAATTTGAGTCATTTCTGTAATACTAATTTAAAACTGGTATTTATAAAATCCATTCCCCAAGCACCTGAGACACAAACATACGTGGAAAAAAACATGTCATGCCAAAAATGGCAGCGATCTCTGGATTATTTATGCCCAGCCACCACAAAAAGGTAAAAACCAAGAAAAAACACATCTTTGGGCAGTCTTTTAGGCACCAGCCACTTCCCTCCCACGTTTGACAGACAAGCGGAGGTAGGCAACATTCATCAAGCTGCCAAACATCTGGTACAGCTCGGTGGCTTAGGCACTGGAGAGGCTCACAGGACAAGAGGGGGAAGAAATAAAAGTGCTCCCATCTCCGTGCTAAGCCTCTGCACGTGATCAGTCTGCAGACTCTGTTGTAACCCCCAGCTTGACAGCCTTCACCTGACAACTCTGGGAGAGAAAAGCTGATGCCAAGGACGGTGAAGCACTCCACTAAGTCACTGTGTCCAGCAAGGCTGTTCGCTCAATCATTTCATGGCTGGATGGCAGCAAGGTTTCTGGGAGCGAACAGTGTCTATCAAGCACAGGGAGAAACCCCAGTAAATCCAAACAAAGCTAAAGGAAACTGTCTCCTGGCCACTATGACAACACATCCCTCACTTTATCCCTGCTCGCCACCTTCTGCAGGCAGGGGGGGATATCTGATCCAGGGTTGTACAACCTCATGCGGTCGGTCCTGGCCAGCGAGAGGGCATATTTGCAGACACTATTGCGCCATAGGAGGGGAACAAATCCTGATGGCGACACTGGGGAAAGGACTGGAGCTTTGCAGCCAATGCCCCCCACCTTCCTTCAGCCAAGTCCCAAGATCTGCCTGGAGAAAGGGCTGCTCATCTCTCTGGGTTGGATGGAACAAAAAGTAACACCTGCTTTTGTTCTTGTTGAATATATCGGCTCTCAGGAGAGCAAAAGGTATTTGTGAATTCTTAGGTTACAACTTTGGAAATATGCTACAGCCTGCTCAGAGCTAAGCACTCCCCATGTCTGTGGGAGAGGGCAAATACTGCCAGCAGATAGGAACATGAGCACAGCACCTTGCAAACTAAGGGTCTCTGGGGTGCCTGGCACCTTTTGCATAGCGGGTGAGGCTGCAGCAGTGACCCCCCAGGGAGTCACAACTGCTCAGCAGAACAGACCTTGGAAAAGCCAAGCAAGGACAGGTCCATTAAATCAAATACAGAAGGGTAAGTTTTGTTCCCCTGCAGCCTGTCACTGTATTGCTGTTACAGTACTTCAGGCTGGGATAAGGTGCCCAGGGAAGTATTCTCTAAGGTGTCTAAGTCCCCTTATCAGAAGGGACTTTGGCATCTCAGATCTTTCTGGACAAGACTGAACTGGGAATGTTGCTTCTGAGAAGGAGACTTTCTGAGAAAGCCTTGCCCCGTATATAAAACTGAACCTTGGGGGACCTCTGCACCCTCTCTTGACATGCAGAGGCGAGTCAGACTGTGGAGAGGATGCTACGCCAAGAGACTGCATATAAACAAACAGGCCTGCCTACGAGCGCGGTCCCAAGGCACTGTGTAGAAGTGGGCTTTCGCCCCCGCACGGCTCTGCGGTGGCAGCTCCGCTCTGGGTGCTTTGGCCCTGGCATTTCGGGTCCACCCGCTCCCAGGGGAGCGCATCCAGCATGATGCAGACTTGTCTGTAAACCATACCTGAGTCTGGAAGTTGACTGTATTTTCCGATCACTGGATCCAAGACCACAGAAGTCAGAGTAACATAAAAATAAGAGAGAAAGGGAGAGAAACCAAGAACATACTGTTATGTATTTATTTATCCAAAGGAAAAGAAAAAAAAAAAGGTAAATCCCACATGCCACCCTCCTTTCCCATGCCACGACTGGCACATCTTTCCATGGCCACCAGATAGGGCATGCCATTTCGAGGCCCCTTTCAGCTGGAGGACAGCATGCTAATGAGACAGTGATAACAAACGCAGCAGTAAAGCATTTTTAAGAGCCCCAGAATTACCACTGGGATTAACACAAAGGCCTCTTTGTTGTTAACGAAGGGGGAGAAGAGAAACTGCCCTCATGCTGCGGCCCCAAGGGAATGGCCAACAGAGGCTTTAGTTACATGGCAAAACTCTGGGCATCAGCACCATCACAGTGGTGGGAGACCTATTCCTTGCCAAAGCCCTCAGCTGGTGGTCCACGAATCATGCTAGCTACCAGGTGCCATGATCCTAACTGCAAAGGAGCACAGGGCAGTATTGGGCAGCAAGGGGAAGGGCAGTGGCACGACCTGGGCCACCAGCTCTGCTGGTGATCTCCCACCAGGCTCCTGAGACATCCCAGGTGACACCGTGGGGTCCAGAGGAAGGGACCTCAAGGTCTGTCATGGGTTTGCTGCTGATGGAGAATACCCCTTTCCTTCTCTCACCCTCCTTCTCAAATTCTGATTTAATTTGCTAATTACACCCAAATTATGCTAAGCTAAAACATGCAGGAGGCTGTAACAGATTTCATAATCAGCAGGGTCACCGCTTCTCTCCAAACACTGTCTAGCTCTTCTGAGAAAGAAGGGGGGCATGGTCTAGAGCAGGGGGAGACAAGCTGCTCCGAAGTTCAAGGCTGCCTTTCCCTCCTCTTCTCAGAAAGAAAGGGGCGAGGGCAGAGTGGGGAAGGCTGACGGGCACGCAGCACTGAGAGAACTCCAGGTGCCAACGCAGCAGCAAGCACCTAGAGCCCACGGCTGCTCTTAGTTTTAGCAACTTTGCTCACCAAAGCACCCAAACCCATCATGGAAAAGGTTGTAATGATTCCTACAGGGTGTTCCTTCCCACCTCCCTCACTCCATTTTTGTTGTTGAAAAACCACAGCCAGATTTTCATGCCTCTGGAGCAGACTTACACGGTTCTGGCATACTTTCTTTCCACTAAGCAATTGCATGTTTATTACCTCAACAGCCTCAACAAACATCTAATGTCCTTAAAGAAAAATAAATTAGATGAATCTAGTGTAGAGAGACCCTGACGGACACCAACACAAAAGCGTGGAGTTTTGGGAGATGGCACACACACAGCGTGCATCTGCATGTGGTTGGTCACATCCATCAACGGGCTGGGAATGAGATGGGGCCAGGCGGCTTCTCCACTCTCAGCTGGGACAGCTGGACATGGTAAACGTGTGCTCAAAGGGACTGTAAACATCTGTGCCAAGGTGGGAGCAAACACACGTGATTTTGGAGTTTCCTCCATGTCATGAAAGAGGTTCCCTGTTTCCCTCCTACACTCCCACAAACAGCACATTTGCTAAAGCTTTACTTAGGAAATGTTTTCAGGAAACACGGTCTGTAAATATGGACAGCTCTTGCTGGCTTAGGGTTGCCCTCAGCATGCAGGAACGTGAAATCTTTCCATCCTCAATGCAAGAAACTCTTTCTTGTTAAAGCCCTTAATTATTTCTAAACTTGGAAATTAAAAACAGCAACAACCAGTATTCTGGTGTTTTTCTTATAGCCAATTTGTCCAAAGCATGTCTCAACCCTCTTCCTTTGGGTGAGGTTTCATGGACAGGGGTCTAATGATTGGCAACTGTGAGAGTGGCAAAGCACATCCCACCTTCCCTCTGTTTCAACACCTCTCTGATCCATCACGTTCAACTTCCTCAACCAACAGAAAATTAAGACAAGGCAATAAAATAAAAAAAGGAAAGGGAATATTTCTGTAGCAGTTTTAATACCTGAAGCAGCTCAAAAGGGCCAGAGAAAGGTCACTGCCTGCAAAGGAGGAGGTGGGACACTCTTGCTTTTGGCAGGAACAACCCATTTGGAAAGCTGTGTCACCTCACGAAATTGTGTGTATACGTTCACATGGACTACACATACATACCATGTTAAAAGTAGGGTCTCTCAGCTGCATATTGCCATGCTACCTGTATATGAGTCACAAGATGCTTGGAGCAGGCAGAGGACATACACCTATTCCTTTAACTTCTGTTTGTTTGGAAGCTATTCAAGAAACAGACTCAAGTGGGAAAGTTTTCCCTTTCCAACCCCTACTCAGCTCTTTCCCCAGAGGGTATTCCACTGAAATAAAATTAAAAGTGCTTTTTGTTTGTTTGTTTGTTTGCTTGCTTTTAAGTGACAGCTCTAGTAGCAGCCCCAATGTTCAAACAAGCTTCACCACAGGGACTCATCCAGAACACAATGCCTTTTGTTAATGAACCTAAGACAACAAGTATTTGGGGAATCCTTCAAATGAATTCAGCTTCTTAAACTAAGCAGGTGTACGGCATGTCAAATCTGAGCAAAGCAAAGGAAATGCTAGTATTTTCTGGTCCCTTATTTGCATGGCAAACTTGTGTGGTCCAGAAAAACTCATCTCCAACTTACAGTTGAGAAGGCCCAGCTGCAGAAGCGATGCCAGAGCTGTAAGGATCATGAAAAGCAGGAGACCTCCTCTCCTCCCCAGAAACCCGACCACCGGGCACATGGCCAGGCAGGATGCCAGCGCAATCCCGGCCATGGTGTAGTAGTCTGCATAGAAGTTGTGCGTAATCGCCATCTTCGCTTCGTGCCCCATCATGCTTTTCGCAAAACAGTGGTGTATGCCGTAACCAGTCAGCCTAGAGGGAACAGGAGAGGGCAAGAGGACATCATTGCTGAGAAGGCAGCCGTGCACTGCAACGTAATTCAACTTGGGAACACGTTAATGGGGAAAGAATTTCTTCTGCTGCAGAAATGCAACACCTGGTGCAAAAAGACTCTACTCGGACTTCTAGGTGATACTGTAAAAATAAGCAATGATCATAAGAAACAAAAGAAAAACCCCTATACAGCCAGACATTTGCAATCTCCTGGCTTCATTTGTTGCTCAAGATCGGGGTGCAAGCAACTTTATAATGACTCCTAGCGCGTGACTGGTTATCCCAGCGTGTTTCAGAACTCCCCTATCTTGAGAAGGTCGTCTCTCCGTTCCCGGTGCATCTGCTGACAGCCACAGAGCCAGTGCTGCTGCGATGAAGCAGCCTGTGTGCTTGAACAGCAAAACACCACGCAGTACAGATGTGTCTTCCAGGAAGACCCACCTGCCTGTGGCTTTTAGTCGTACTAAAGACTGCATCTCACTTCCCAAGCTAGCCTGTTACAACTGAAAACCTCTCAGAAATGAGTACTTGAGGTCACACGTGCTGCAAAGATTATTAGAGTGATGAAACGATAAGCCCTAATTCAATCTACATTTTTACACCACCCTTCACAGCAATGCATCTACCCTTCTTTTAAAAGTTTCTTCGTGATGCCAGTGATCAACATCTTGCCACTCTATTCCATTCCTCTTTTTTCTGTCTCCCGTTGCCTCCCAAAAAAAGAAAAGAGAGAAGAGGGAAAAGAGAGAAGAGGGAAAAGAGAGAAGAGGGAAAAGAGAGAAGAGGGAAAAGAGAGAAGAGGGAAAAGAGAGAAGAAGAGGGAAGGGTGAGCAGGGGTCTGGAGGTACAGAAGTCAGATGAGAGGCCCCAGCCATCACCCCTGACAGGGTACAAAACTGCAGCAGAGCTGCTATGGGAGGTTACTGCTCCCAACTGTCCCCATCGCAGCACAAAAACCCCTGCCAGCAAAAGCCTCCTGCCCCTGGCATTTAGATCAGACAAACCTCCTGTCACAAATCAATTGTGCCTGATAGAGCAGCAGGTGTGGGTCCGGGTCTCCAAAAAATGAATGGCAGGTACATTACACTGATACCCCTCTATCCTGAACGTCAGGAATTTGAAGTTCTGTCAGTGTAAACTGGATATTAATATAAGCATAGAAACAGGTGGGGGAATACACAGTCTCTGAGCGCATGACAGCCCAGGGCCTGGGGAACTTCTCTTGCAATCTTGTGACTCAGTGCTATAGTTCAAAAATAGCATTTTTGAACAAATACCAAATACCAAACACCTTCCCCTCTAAACACCAATACCAAACACCTTCCCCTCTAAAAAAACCCAGCACAAATACTTGCTCTTATACAAGAATGTCATTTGCTTTGGATATCTAGATTATAACAGATTTCTCCCGTAAGTGAAATATTAATCAGCAAAACAATACTTAATAAGAGGGCAGAGTTAAACAGTGTGTATCTTCTCTCTTTCTCTTCTGTGCATGCAAACACACTTGCTAAAGTTGTTATTTAGGCCATGACCTATAAACCAAATTGATGCATCATCTGCACTTTGCTTTCCAGCCTGCTTCCCCAGGAATTACTCTATTATCTTAACTTGCTAAGCAGCTCAGAACAGTTGCTTTTAAAACTAAATACATTTATCTCCCTTGATGTCTCGTAATTCCCTGCAAAAGGCTCCTTCTCTATGTTCCATGCTACAAAAATTTAGCAGAGCCCCATCTAACAGGAATAACAGAATTAAAATTCTATAGTTTTTTTTCCACCCCCTAAAAACAAACATGAAGGCTATTTCCTCAAACACACATCTGCTTCATGCGCTTCTTGGACAGCAAACAGCCTCCGTGCACTATTGCCAGAAGTCACTCTTTGGGCTGCCTAGTTCTGGTTTAGGGAATTTCCAAATGTGCGTAATTAAAAAGGTTGAGGGAGAAGGGAAGAATTCCCCACATAAACATTTTTCACAAATACCGTTAACACTATTAAATCTATCAGCTCAGCCTAAGAGGAAAATGCTGTTTCAGAACAGAGGAAGTCACCCACTGGGTGGTGGGAGACACACACAAAAATTATAAAACCGGAGTTGGTTCTGCAACAGATAACACTGGAGACCAACGCCTGAAATCTGTGTGCCTCTGGGTGACTGCCCAGATCTGCCCAGCACAGGGGCTGTCCTCTCTGGGTTAGCCTGCTAACAGGAACGAAGGCTGCAGAGTAGGTCCCTGAAGTGATAAAGAAAAAGCCACAAGAGAGCCACATACTTCTAAACAGAGTAGAGGATGGGGGATTTCCAGTGTTCTCCCCACCTCCCATCTGAAAAAAATAACGAAAGGAATTCAAATGAGCATTTTTATAAGATTGAAAAATTTGAAAATCCACTGCCGCTGCCCTTCCAGAAATTGGGTTTGGTTAGAGGCTAAATTTGCAGCCCATCTATTTCCTCTGTACAAGGTGCTCAGTTCTGGGCAGAAGGTCTCGGAGCCTGTAGCCTGCAAAACCCTCAGGCAGATGCCTGGTTTTGTCCATGTAGGCATGTCCAAGCTGAAGCCTTAGGACGCAGGCATCACATTGCTCTGTGGGAGACTGCACATTCTCCCTGCGTGCCCCATACGCGATTTGGGAGAGCTGAAGCACTTTGTAATCTGCTTTTGAAGACCTATCAAGGACAGCTGTTATACAAGGGAGCAGGCTTGTATTTACTGGCAAGCAACATCTTTCTCTGCAATACAGATATATCAGATGTAAACAACTTGAACTTGCACTCCTGTGGCATCAATGACTTCAAAAATCCCACCCAGGGTGCCAGCAGCAGATGTCTGCATGCATGAGCATGTACCAGCACATATCCATGCAAGACCACTGGTGACAGCAATGCACTTGCAGCACGACACCTGAGAAAACACATGGTGCTGCTCCCTGAAACAGCCAATGAGTTCCTCCACATTTGCCATAAAAATAATTCCCTGCAACAGCTGGTGTTTTTCCAGGATCATTTATCAGAGACACTAGTGAAGGGTCCCACACAAAGAAACAGAGGAGCTCCCCCATCATTTTCCATTACTGCTTCCAGTTCACCAACCACACAACTATTCAAACAGAAGGAGATTGGACTTACGAGTTCACACACAATACTACGATGTTTTTCCACAGGTTCCTGGTTCCCACCACTTTAACAATGCAGACTTTCTTCGGTCTCCTGGCAATCTCCTTTTCCAGCTCTGAAACAAACCAAATGAAAATTATTCTTTCACTGGGGAGAATGAGGAGGATAAGCTTTGCTTGTGAACTACAGATACTCTGAGGGATATTCTGGAGAGCAGGACACTATTGATTTCATTAACAGCAGCTATAAAAACACTAAACTACCTGCCTAAAGTCCACCTCAGGTTTCTCCTTTTCTTCCGGGCGTCCCTTAACCTTCTTGGGGCTGAAGAACTGCCCAAGAACTCCTTCACACCCCAAAACTTCTCCCAGTTTAAAACGTGTATGTAGAATGGGGGCAGTATGGAGCTTGATCCCAGCAAGCGTGATATAAAATTTCCTGAAGAACTTCAGGATTCTGCTAATTTTTAAACCCCCACAGGCAGGACCGTGCTTGTGCAGGATTGCTCTCAAAGACAGTCTCCTTAGCTCTGTTACAAGATCTGCTGCATCTCTGCAATGCACACCTGAAAAGCCATGGAAAGGACTGGAGTTCAAACCCATTTTGTGTGGGAATCTTTTGAGGTTTGCTCAAATTCAGGTTTCAGAAAGAAGTGGCTGGGACACTATGTCAGCTCATCCTCTTCCCCCCTACATTTCAAATATTTAAAAAAAAAAAATATCTGGTGGATGTCCTAAACAGAAGATATTTCCTTAAAGAAAAATCCTTGGGCATCATCAGCTGTGATGTCTTTGTGTTTCAGAGCTAAAGCCTCACCATGTCTTTGAAGTGCTGGGCAGCTGCAAGCTAACTTTTCTTTTACAGTGCTATAGTAACACACAAGGCTTACAAACATTGCATCTGATATTCTTGTTTGCACCAGACAAAAATGAAGGGGACTGCTTACTTCCCAAATGTCACTAGATTAGAGCTTGAACACCTACCTAAGCGTACCAACAAAACCACTGTTTCCAAGCTACTGGATCAGTGAGGCAGTTACAAGGGCATGAAGTCCTGTAAAAACGGAAGAAGCTGTAGCTATAAAGAAGCATCACAAAAACGATGCACTCCGAGAGTACAGACTAGGACTGCTTTTTAGGGCAAAGACTTGTCCTGCTGCTTTCTAGACTGACTGGTTTAAAGGCGGCAGCGTGGTCCTGTTCTGAACCGTGCATGTGTTCCCTTTGTGCATACGCAATTAGCCCGCGTGTCCTCAGTTGTCCGCACTGGCCTGCCCCGACCTCTGCCTTACTCCACTGAATAGCAATCTCTTTAAGAGATGCAAGACAGGGAAAAACAAAAGCAAGCTGCAGGGGAAAAAAAATATGAGATAAATCACCTGAATTTACAAACAAAACAAAAGACACGTTTGTCTGCTCTTATTTGAAAATTGTATCATAAAAATAATAAATCAAAGAAACACTATTTATATGCAAATAGTTGAGCTATTCACTGTTCACAGGTCACTCCTGGTCTTCTGTCTAGACTAACTACAGGGAACGCTTCTGAGAAAAGCAGCAAAGGGTATTTTATATTAATGTTTGTACTTAAGCAGAAGATTGCCATACTACTTTCCTTACTACCTGATAACAGACATTTCTCCTAAATCTACATAGCATGAAGCTCACAAAAGCATAAAAACAGAGGTGGAGCAAAAGAGAAAATCGGTCAACTTAATATTTGTACTACAGGAGCACTCAGCAGGCTCAGCAATGGATCAGGGCTATATTAAAAAAATAAGCAATGAAAAAAGATGGTACCTAATCTCAAAGAGCAAGGTCAAAATGATTTTTGTAGCAAGATTCTGGAAAGGAGTAAGTGGGCATAAAATAATTCAGAACAACTGAAGCAGTTAGATAAAACATAGTTATGAAGCCTATAATTGAGCCCAAGCCAAACCTTCTACAATGAAAAAGTCAAAGCAAGCACTAGAAGCAGCACAAGGTTTTGAAAAGCTGTCCATGACTGTTTACTATTTCAGCTGAAGGGCAACAATGAAAATCACCACCCAAACAACACACATAGCACAGATTTCATGTGGACATAAGGGCTCACACTCAAACTGTCTAAGAATGACCAGATCTGGCCTGTCAAAGTAAAACATCTCCTCCTCTGTCAGCAGGAGACAGTCCTTGATACCATTTCTTCAGATTTTCTTAATTTGGGGTTTTTTTGTTTCTCAAAGTAGTTTTTACTTTTTTTTCTTTGGGCAGAGAAAGTAGATTTTATTGTCAGTATGTGCTTTATTGAGCCACAACTTAATAAAATTAAGAGAAGCAACACTTAACTTGGTTACACTTCTCTTCGGAGCCAAACATCATTTTGCCCTCCGCTCCTGCTTTGTTCATACATTAGGGGTTGCTACAATCCACATGTTCTTTATTTATTGTCACGCATCCTTCTCATGTGCACCCAGGCCCCCTTTAACCTTTCGTATAAATCAGTCTTTCTGAACTAATTCTTGTCAGTGTTTTTCACTGAACTGCTGTTCTACCCTCAAGTAATGGATAGGCGGTGGGTTATGTGAACTGGCAAACACCTCCTCTGCTCAGCTGCAGCGAGGATCACACAGGAGGGAGATTTCACCCCTTCTCTACCCTGCCTCATGCAGCAGTCTCCCTTCAGCGGACCCTTGCTTCTGCTCTGATGGGGGTTATGCTGCATGGATACATAGCATTATTATATGAAAATGTCCCAGAGGAGATTCCAGATGTAGCTGCATTACAAGGATTAAAGAAAAAAAAAAAAAGAAAAAAGAAAGAAAAGAAAGAAAAAAAGAAAAAAAAAAGAAAAAAAAGAATCTGGCCTCAAATCTTATACCAAAGAATGCAAACAGCTCTGACTTTTTACTGAAAGCCTTCTAGCTCTGCCAGATGTTTACTCCTCCATCCCTCTATGACATGTTAAAACTCCAAATCTAAGTCACCTGCTTCAGATGAATGACTCTCCCCAAATCTCCAACAACATCTATCTTTCTGACTACTTTCTCCATCCCTTATTCCTATATATACCAGTCAGCCGTTCACCAAAAAAACCCCCCACTGCAAAAGGAATCATTTACAATAAGCAAAATATCATTCAGGTAACAACAAATAAGCTACGTGACTTGCAAAAAAGTCATCAACTACAGAACTGGCTCTCATTTAAGTGGCCTGCTGACTTTGGAGGCAGCCTGCTTGCATGAAAGGGCCTGCTCTGACTGTGATGGGCATCAGGAGAGCGGCAGGTCTTAGGCTGTCTGGACTTCAGAGGTCAACATTAAGATCTTAAAAGAGAAGTCAAGCCAATGCCTATTAAAAGCCTGTGGAAGCAAACTATTGCTCTCTCAGTTACTGGAATAACAGCAGGAAAACTCTCCCTACCCCCAACCTATTCTTTGATTTTGCACTGAAGTCACCAGTTCAGAAGGAATTTGCATGGAACGTTTCAGTTCTGACTGATTTACCAGAAGGGAGAGTGTGGAAAATAAAAAATATTTTTATCTATTTACTCAGAGGCCCATTATGAGTTTTCCCATACTCCTGAGCCCACACACACTCTAGGCGTACTATTCAGGGGCTCAGTAGGAAAACTGTCAACAAGCTAACTCTTTATCTCAGTGGAAATTAAAACTATTCATAAGACACTAAAAGTCTCATGGGGAGGGGAACCCTACAAGCTTCCAGCTCCCAATGCTGCTGAATTCTCGTGGGATTCTCTGTGTTTCAGGAGCATGGCTTTCAAAATCAGAAAGTATCTTTAAAGCCTTCAAATGAAGTCACCCATCTCTGCATCACTTGGCAAAGACAAAATAGACAAAGCTCAAATCAAGCAGCCGAAAAAGGATGTCCAAAATGACAAGTGTCCTGTGGTGACGGACTTCTGCTGGATTTTTCTGGCTGCTAAACGATACTGTCAGTAGCTCTTTGAACATGAAAAGAGCTATGGAAGCCCAGCACAGATGCTCAATCAATCCGCAGAGCATGACAGCTCTGCAGCAGGAGGTAGACCAGTCTGAAATGCAGAGCTGAAGCAACCTACTCTCAGCCATACTGAGTTACTGGTACACAGGGTTATTTATACCTTCTAGGTTTTCTGTCTCCATGAATTCCCTTTGTGCTTACTTATTTATTTATTTTTATAGTGGAGGACTAGCAGCCTGATACATTGCGTTTTTGAAACGCCTAATAGTGAAGGAATATTGAAGGCTATCAAGTCACATACAGAAATTATGAGGTGGGTAAGGAGCTGACTGATGGGCAGACAGCAATAAGGGATAGAAAAATAGAAATCATAAGTGGATGGCAGGAGGTTAGTGGTGGGGTGACTCATCTTATTGTCAAAAAAAAAAAAAAAAGAAATCTTGTTTAATAACCTCGCTAGGGAGCTTGGCACAAACCTTAGGAATGTGCCAGTGAAGTCGGCTGGTGACAAAGTGAAGCACTGCCAGCGGTACAGCACAGAAATGGGACATTAGAGGGAACTGGGTGAGCTTAGGACCCTGTGTGGCAAAAGCAAGTAAAAACGCAAAATACAAGGTAAAATGCTTGGGGACTAATGGGAAATGTTTCTGCTGGAAGATAAGCTTTTAGCAAATATTGTGATGGACTTGGTTATATACTACTTGAACACAAGTGACTTAGAAGGCACCAGTTTATTGTGTCCATGAGGTATTTGCAATTCAGACAATGGAATACTGGTGCTCTTTTATAATTTTGGTGACCAATATTTGAGAAACTAAAGCTTTGGCAAGCCTATTTATAAAAGGATAGGAGATAGAGGAGAACTTCAGCTCAGTAAGGGAACAGGGCTGCTGTCTGCTCACATAGCATGGGAAAAGAGAAAAAGAGATTTAAGATAAAGACAGTCAGAGACAGGAGCAAATGGTAAGGGAAGAAAGACAAAGAACCTGGACAGCTATAGTGTATTTGAATTGAATGCTAAAACATAACCCAGTACAAGAGCAATTTGGAGTCTGGAATGGCCTTCCAACAAAAGCATGGGACATAAATACTAACAGCATTTAAAACGAAGCTCATTTCATAAGAGCAACTGTATAACTCAAATACTGTAATAGCAAAGGACTGCTTGCAGTAA